AGGGGTATGGTTAATGCCCAGTTATTAATTGATCAGCTTGTTAAGGGCCAGAAGTTTTATTCCAAAGATGTTTTAGATAGGCAGGAACTCTCACTCACAAACCCCAAAACACTCAGTTGTAGTCAAGTGGGCATAAGGGGATAGCTCTGCCTATCTTATCCAGTCCAGCTGTGCTATCATGTCCAGCTCCATGAAGTCTGCCCCACCAGTTTAGCTGATCCCTAGTCAAGTCTAGCCCTATAATATCAGCTCCACTACCACCACTCTGGCCTTAAGAAATCAACTCCTGCTCTTCAGACTCAGGTCTACACAGTATTCAAAATCTCTGAGTGAAGAACATAGAATAAAGCAGAACCCCTGAACAAAGCCCTTGGTCTCTCAGGCAGAGCTGCTGAGATCCCCTTGTTGAATTTGCGTTTCTCACCCAAACAAAGTGCACTCCAGTCAGCACAGGATCGCCCACTTTTCCCAACTTTTACCCCAATTTACAAATACATGATATGGGCCTCATATCATTTCCAAAACCAGAACACAAATAAACTCCTAACTACCTGTCATAAATATCAAGGGAAGGGTAAACACCTTTAAAATCCCTCCTGGCCAGAGGAAAAACCCTTTCACCTATAAAGTGTTAAGAAGCTAGGATAACCTCGCTGGCACCTGACCAAAATGACCAATGAGGAGACAAGATACTTTCAAAGCTGTGGGGGGGAGAAACAAAGGTTCTCTCTGTCTGTGTGATGCTTTTGCTGGGAACAGAAAAGGAATGGAGTCTTAGAACTTAGTAAGTAACCTAGCTAGATATGCGTTAGATTCTGTTTTGTTTAAATGGCTGATAAAATAAGTTGTGCTGAATGGAATGTATATTCCTGTTTTTATGTCTTTTTGTAACTTAAGGTTTTGCTTTGAGGGATTCTCTGTGTTTTGAATCTAATTACCCTGTAAGGTATTTACCATTCTGATTTTACAGAGGTGATTTTTTTACATTTTCTTCAATTAAAATTCTTCTTTTAAGAACCTGATTGCTTTTTCTTTGTTCTTAAGATCCAAGGGTTTTGGGTCGGTGTTCACTTATGCAAATTGGTGAGGATTTTTATCAAGCCTTCCCCAGGAAAGGGGGTAGGGTTGGGGGAGGATTTTGGGGGGGAAAGACATTTCCAAGAGGGCTCTTTCCCTGTTATATATTTGTTAGACGCTTGGTGGTGGCAGCAATAAAGTCCAAGGGCAAAAGGTAAAATAGTTTGTACCTTGGGGAAGTTTTAACCTAAGCTGGTAAAAATAAATTTAGGGGGTTTTCATGCAGGTCTCCACATCTGTACCCTAGAGTTCAGAGTGGGGAAGGAACCTTGACACTACCCTATAAAAGATTGTACAGAATTGGACCAGGGTAGAGTCATAATCTGTGTAAATGAGCTAGGCAGAGCTACCTTCTTTTCCTGTCTCCTACATGAGGGACATACAGGTTCTTTTTCTTTAAAGCATTCTGACTCTGGCGTTTACTCACGGTTACTGTTGCATCACCACACAGTTGAACATGCCATGAAACAGCAGTGAGAGTACAAAAATATTGATTTGATGTAACAAGTTAATTTATCATTTTGAAATTTAGTATGATATACTGTCCTCAAACCATAATGTAACTCCCAATGATGTCAATGGAGATGGAGGGCAAATTGCAGTCCCAAATGTTGAATAAATACCACAGTGCTCAGAATATAACAAATTCACTTTTTAATTGTTGGAGTAAATAGCAAATAACAGTTATAAACCGTCAATGAATCGTGAATACAAATAATCAATGTCTTCAGGATCTTGCAAGTCATTGTCTACCGATTAGATCTAGCAGACAGATAATAGGGCAATCTGACCAATTAAGGCTCCCAAAATGTCAGGGATGTCATGACTTCAGGGGCCTGATTCTTCTCTCACTCACATCGGTTTAACTTTATTGGGCTTGATTCTTTGTTCAGCTTGAGCTCCTCTAAGAGCTATAGACTGGTCATTTTCTAATAACAGTACTCATAATCTGGTATCTCACTGAATGGTTATAGATTACTACATCATAATATTTCAGGCCTGGATGGTTTGTCACTACCTTTTGTGAAAGCGTCTTACTGTTGGGATTCCTATCCAGTATCTTTATCAGTCAATCTCTCAAAGGATTTACTGATGGGGGAAAGGTGTAGCAGGAACTTGGACTGATAATCAATTCCCCCAAATGTCCAAACTTATTCAAAACTTCTCAGGGTTTGGCCTTAATCCTTCTAGAGGGTAACTGGTGTACAGCACAACTGACAGGTGCAGTCTCATTTTTTTCTTATTGAATTTGAAATTCATGTGACATACTCTATTAAGCAGTGCTATCAGGTTACAATAGTGATCAGCATTAACCTCTTTATGGTGGTCTCCACAATCAAATACTAAGATACCATCTAAAATGTTATCAGCTCCCTCGAATCTCTCTAGCATGTCATATTGACATCTTTGCTACTCTTCTGGTACACAGAAATTCCAAACTACATCACAGTTAGTAGTATAGAAGGAGTCTAGAAGGGCATCAAATAGATGCTTTCCTCTTCAACTTTTCCTGGCTAGAAACCATCTTTGAAATCTAAAACTAAAAAGACATTTGCCTTTGTGAGTCTCGGCAGGATCTCTTTAATTGTTGGTGAAGTGTTTAAGCATTTTATTGGGGTGTGAGGGGTGAAATATCTGTGCAGAACTGGTGTGGTTCCTTAATAGCTACCATACTATTGATTATGTCTGTTATGTACCTTTCTTATCCATAAAGTTGTTAATCTGCTTTTTAAGTTTCTTCTTAAAAAAAATGCAAATGTGCATGGTATTTGTAGCGGTTTTGCTTCTGGGTTGATTTCCAAGTGATATTCTCCAGGATGGCATCAAAGGCCTTTAATAAAAACATACCCATATGTCATAAATATAAAGGGAAGGGTAAACCCCTTTAAAATCCCTCCTGGCCAGAGGAAAAATCCTCTCACCTGTAAAGGGTTAAGAAGCTAAAGGTAACCTTGCTGGCACCTGACCAAAATGACCAATGATGAGACAAGATACTTTCAAAAGCTGGGAGGAGGGAGAGAAACAAAGGGTCTGTGTCTGTCTGTATGCTGCTTTTGCCGGGGATAGACCAGGAATGGAGTCTTAGAACTTTAGTAAGTAATCTAGCTAGGTGTGTGTTAGATTATGATTTCTTTAAATGGCTGAGAAAAGAACTGTGCTGAATAGAATGACTATTCCTGTCTGTGTGTCTTTTTTGTAACTTAAGGTTTTGCCTAGAGGGATTCTCTATGTTTTGAATCTAATTACCCTGTAAGGTATCTACCATCCTGATTTTACAGAGGTGAATGCTTTACTTCTATTAAAAGTCTTCTTGTAAGAAAACTGAATGCTTTTTCATTGTTCTCAGATCCAAGGGTTTGGGTCTGTGGTCGCCTATGCAAATTGGTGAGGATTTTTACCAAACCTTCCCCAGGAAGTGGGGTGCAAGGGTTGGGAGGATTTTGGGGGGGGGAAAGACGTGTCGAAACTACCTTTCCCAGTAAACCCAGTTAGAGTTTGGTGGTGGCAGTGGAGCTCCAGGGACAAAGGATAAAATTAATTTGTACCTTGGGGAAGTTTTAACCTAAGCTGGTGAAAGTAAGCTTAGGAGGTTTTCATGCAGGTCCCCACATCTGTACCCTAGAGATCAGAGTGGGGGAGGAACCTTAACACCATATTAATGATTTTTTCCTTTGTTAGAGGCTATGGATGGAGCTGTCTAGTACATTGAATATCATCTACCTTTTGTGAAAGCTCCAACTCTTCACTCAATTCTGCTGATAGCAAAGGCACTTGTGGACTTTCAGTTATTTCAAAGTCTACATTATGGAGTGCACCTTTAGATGGACATGTCAATGTGCATTGTACCATTGTAGAATTTTAGTGTGGAGGTTGTTTTCCAGCAATTTGGCGGATTTATCTTGTATAGTGTCATGGTAACCTAAAAACTTGTTAGTTTGCAGAAAAAGTCACTGTCAATTTGACATTTGGATAGGTGCCTAGGTGATGTTTGAAGTTTTGGTAGTGCAGACCATTTGTCCCCTTTGCCCAGTTTACAGCTCCAGTTTAGTGAGTGGTGGAAAAGACAAACTCCTCTGAAGAGATGTCACTTTCATGTCCCACATATTGTACATTATGGGACTCTTTTGGTGGTTGTTTAAATACTTTTGCAAAATTATTTTCTTACAATAAGCACTCTAGTACCATATGCCAAAGATCTGCATTTTTCATATTTTCTTCCAGAATACATGCATTACTTTCTATTCTTTGCAGACCATTAGTCTGTTTCTTGTTGTCATCTGTGTTTGCCTTTAGTTTGTGTATGGTGTATATCTTCCAGTGTTTCTAACACTTTCAAATTTTGTAGCTGTTTCTTTGCTTGTTCACTGCGATGGCATACATCACCAGCCTTAATAAGTTTAAACTGTCACTTGTCACAACATATATGCTCTGACTTCATTTTTTTTTGGTGTCTAAAACTATATGATCTCTAATAAATTAATCAGCAAGTATGCTAAATTTGTATGATAGGGCTAACTGGTGGAGCCTGGCTGCATAACTGTGTGTCATTTTAGTTTCATTTTGAATCAGATGTATTGAAAACATACCTCATATATTACATTTATTTTATGAAGGGTTAATGTTTAGCTATTCCACCTGGAAGCAGGCGGGGCACACCCTGACTGTTTCGTAGAAGCAATGCACACATTGCTCTATCCAAGGACAAGGGCTAGATATGAACCATGAGAACTTGATTGTTTGGACAGCAACGGTGGGAGGCTTTCTTAGCCTGGGCTCAAGGCCTGAGAACCAGGATTGTAGTAGATAGGGGATGGTAACTAAGTATATGAATTAACGTCATACATTCCTTTGTGTAGCAGTGTGTAATGCTTAGGGGGAGAAATATAATAAAAGGAGAAGGTGGAAGGTGGGGGGGCAGAACGCCCATCTCAGCTGACCAGCCTGCTTGCTTGCATAAAGCTGTGTTCTGTCTCATCACTGAACCGCCACAACTGGCGCCCAAACGTGGGGCCCTCAGCACTCGCCTCGCCCGGCAAGGGTTTCAGACGCGTCACTCATCCGCTTCGCGGATCCCGGTGAGTATTTTTCATTGTGGTAAGTATGGGAAGCTCCCTCTCTGCTTTGCAAGTGCAACACCGCAATGAGCTGCAGTATTTGCTGCGTAAGGCTCAGCATGACTGCCCGGCTCGAGCACTTACTCTCCTGCTACAGGAGGTGTGTGCCAAGTGCCCGTGGTATCCTGAAGCCGGAAGCCTTAAGCTAGCAGACTGGGAGCGATTGGGCCAGACATTGCACAAAGAGCCTCGGGCGCCCGTGCAGGCTTTACATGCCTGGCACCTCTGCCGCGATGTGGTACAGCGTGTCGCCTCCGACAGGCCCTCCCTCGCGAGGCTGGTGATCTCACCACGCCCGTCTGCTCCTGCAGCCATCTCCCCTCCTGGCGATGCGACACAGCGTGTCGCCTCGGAAAGGCCCTCTCCAGCACCAACAGAGGGGCTGCCGATCCCGCCGCCCCCGTTCGCTCCTGCAGCCATCCCTCCCCCTGCTTCGCCCCCAGTGCCTCTATTACCACCGCCTCCCTGGCCTTCCCCACCGGAGCCAGTGTGTGATCACCCTCCCCCCGTGGGGCCCCCCGGAGGGTCATCTGCATCTGCTCAGAAGCTTTCGCTGGTGCAACAAATGGTTCACACAGCGAAAGCTCGATCAGATCTTACAGCGGAGGAGCTGGCTGATCTGGTCTCAGTTTGCCCGGTGACCTGGCAGAATGATGACCAGTGCAACCCCGTGGGCACCTGGACCACTTTGTCATACTCGGTGGTTAGAGAGGTGAGGAAAGCAATTCATGAGTTTGGCCTGACTAGCACCTTTGTGCGTGGTCTCGTTGAAGGGATAGGTACTGGGTACTCCCTAATCCCTGAGGATTGGAAAACGCTGCTGCGCATGATGTTATCACCTAGTCAGTATGTTATTTGGCTTAGTGAGTATCGGCAGATGGCAGAACGCCAAGCTCAGGTACATGCAGCGCACGGTATCATTTATGAGCATTTGGCAGGGGAGGGCCCGTTTGCTACTATTCAGATGCAGTCTCAACTCCCTCAGGCCGTCTTCCCCATTATTTCCACCTGTGCCCAGCATGCTTTCAAGAAGGTCCCGGATTCAGGCAAGCCTACCAAAAGCTTTGTCAGTATCCGTCAGGGTGCCTCAGAGTCCTTTTTGGATTTTACCAACAGATTGCATGAGGCTATCCTCCGGCAGGTGGATAACACTGAGGCAGCTCACGAGCTCCTGTTAAAACTGGCAGTTGAAAATGCAAACAAGGATTGCCGCCGTGCTCTCCAGGCAGCACAAGCCTCTGGTATTTTAGAGCTCTCAGACGTGCTGCGGGCATGCCAGAACATCGGCACACAAGCCCACAAGGCTGGAGTTCTGGCTGCCGCCCTCAGAAAAACTGGGAAGGAGGGGAAGCGTTGTTACCGCTGTGGTAAGGAGGGTCATTTTCAGCGGGAGTGCCGCTCATCTAAGGCACCAGCCCGACCCTCAAAGAAGTGCCCCAAGTGTGGGAAAGGTTATCACTGGGCTAATCAGTGTCGTAGCGGGTCGGAAAACCGCGCGACGGGTCCCCCCCGAACCCAGGGCCAAACGGGGGTGTTTCCTACTCAGGCAATCGCTCCTCTGCCTTGGAATCCGTAGACTCTATGAGGGCGGCGACTGCTGGAAGTGCAGGGCTTGATTTGATCATGCAGGAGGACACTGACTTTCGGCTGCCAGGGGAGGTCTGTGCCATACCTACACAGGTGACGGGACCTCTCCCTGCCGGCTTTGTAGGTCTTGTTCTCCCTCGCTCACATGCTGGGAAACAGGGCTTTTTTGTCATTCCAGGGGTCATTGATGCTGATTACACTGGCATTATTAAGGTTCAGGTGTGGACTCATCTTCCACAGTCGCTCCCGCGTGGACGGTCAATTGCACAATTGATTTTAGTCCCCTATCAGGTGCCAGCTGCCGAGGATCGAACTCGGGGCGGAGGCGGCTTTGGATCGACGTTGTCTCACTCGCCGTCTCACAGCGCGTCTTCTCCACTTGTTGCTCTGACAATGTCAGTCCGCCCCTCGAAGCCTCAGTTAACACTTCTCTTAGATGATGTTCCTTTTACAGGGCTGGTGGACACTGGAGCTGACGTTACGGTGATTCGTGATCTGGAGTGGCCAGTTAGTTGGCCTACGGTTCCTTCTAAAGAATTGTGGGGGATCGGGGGTAGTAAACCCGGGCGCCAAAGTTTGTCTTGGGTCACGGTCTCTAAACCGGGAGGCCATACCCTTGCTACTATCCGCCCTTTTGTGCTCCCTGTCCACCTCAATATTTGGGGCCGTGATTTACTTACAAAGTTAGACACCACCCTCGATATTAACATCTGATGGCCCAAAACCCTCCCTCACCCACCGTGCCCTCCGCCTTACCCTTGGTATGGCAATCCTTAGAGCCCGTATGGATTGATCAGTGGCCCCTCCCTCTAAAAAAGCTAAAAGCACTTCATTCGCTTGTGCAGCAGCATTTGCAAGCACAGCGACTGGAGAGCTCCACTAGTCCCTGGAACACCCCGGTGTTTGTTATTAAGAAAAAATCGGGTGCTTGGCAACTGTTACATGATTTAAGGGAAATAAATAAACGCATCCAACCTATGGGCCCCTTGCAATTTGGCTTGCCAAATCCAAATTTAATTCCTCAAACCGATCAACTTTGTGTGTTAGATTTAAAAGATTGGTTTTTTTACCATCCCCCTTTGCCCTCAGAATTAGCTGCTGTTATTTTGGCCTTTCAACCTTTTGCTGATTGTCCCTTTAATTTAATTGTGGATACCTATTATGTTTATTAGGTAATTGATCATTTACCTCTTGCCCTCATTACTCCTCAGGTTGATGCAGACCTCCTTCGCCTGTTTTTGTTTTTGCAGCACCTTTTTGCCACTTGTCATTTCCCTTATTTTGTTGCTCATATTTGCAGTCATACCCCTCTGCCTGGGCCACTCACTGAGGGCAATGCATGCGCCGGTCGCGTGTTGCGTGGTCAGGTAAATTCCCTTTTTTCTGACCCCATTGAAAGCCATGCCTTTTTTCATCAGTCTGCCTCTGTTTTGGCCCGGTAGTTTCACATTCCTGCTGATCATGCACGTTCCATTGTTCGTTCCTGCCCCCACTGTACTGCTGCTGCTCCTACTTTTTCTTATGCCGTTAACCCCCGAGGTACCGCAGCAAATCAGCTGTGGCAGATGGATGTTACTCATGTGCCACAATTCCGCCCCTATTTGTTTTTACATGTTTCCGTTGATATTTATTTAAGTTTTTTTTTGGGCTTCCCCACAACGTGGGGAAGCCACTAACAAAGTTATTCACCATTTGCTGGCCTGCCTTTTTGTTATGGGTCGCCCCTGCCAAATTAAAACAGATATGCCCCAGCCTACTGCTCTGCAGCCCTCTCCACCTTTTGTGCCCGCTGGGACGTCCATCTTACACACGGAATCCCTTATAATTTCACGGGCCACGCCATTGTTGAACGTGCCAATCGCACACTCAAAACCTTGCTAGATAAACAATTAAAACAAGGGGAGCTGCGTCTCCGAACCTTAGGAGACATTTAACAACAAATGCATATCCTCTTGTTTACTTTAAATAATTTAACACTGAATGCAGATCAGCAGACCCCTGCGGATCGGCATTTTCACAAATCTGAGGTACTGGAAAGACCACGTGTCTATTACTGTCAGCTGCCCGATCCACAGTGGCTGGGCCCAGTACCTCTAATCACTTGGGGTCGGGGATATGCTGCTGTGTCTCTCCCTGCAGGACCGTTGTGGGTTCCAGCTCGGTGTGTGCGACCGGCACTTAAACAACATGGCATGGCACCAGGGACTGTCGAATCCCATACCGGAGTTTCAGCTGACCTTGGAGGAGACCGCGTTGCCCCCGAGTCGACAACGACGGGACGGAAACGGAGGAGGCGTAGCGTCCCAAGCCAGCCCGTGACATGGGGAGCAGTAAAAGCATTGGTCGCCGCGGCTCAACGAAGACTGGCAGCAGATCAACAGCCAGAGACTCCTGAGACTTTGTTTGTGGCGATTCTCGCCCAAATCACTGCTAATTCTGTGATGATTGTGTGCCTTTTGTGCCTGCTATTTCCTAAAAGAAGTGTACCCCTTTTAGATGATTATATTGCAGATGTTGAGCTTTTGGTTATTTTGTGTTTGTAATCATTGGGCTTATTTTTTGCTGCTGCTGTGTACAATGTATTCTTTCCTTGTTAAGATTTTGTAAAATTTTGCCCTGGAAAGCTCCCCAGGTTATGTCCTTGTCTGTCTGGGAGTTAAATAGCATGACAAAACAAATTGACGGCTACCATGAGATGGCCAAATATCAATAAATAAAAAACGGGGAGATGAAGGGTTAATGTTTAGCTATTCCACCTGGAAGCAGGCGGGGCACACCCTGACTGTTTCGTAGAAGCAATGCACACATTGCTCTATCCAAGGACAAGGGCTAGATATGAACCATGAGAACTTGATTGTTTGGACAGCAACGGTGGGAGGCTTTCTTAGCCTGGACTCAAGGCCTGAGAACCAGGATTGTAGTAGATAGGGGATGGTAACTAAGTATATGAATTAACGTCATACATTCCTTTGTGTAGCAGTGTGTAATGCTTAGGGGGAGAAATATAATAAAAGGAGAAGGTGGAAGGTGGGGGGGCAGAACGCCCATCTCAGCTGACCAGCCTGCTTGCTTGCATAAAGCTGTGTTCTGTCTCATCACTGAACCGCCACAATTTTAGGTACAAAGTATTTTTCTAAATAATCTGTATTTGTGCATTTTCTCTCGATTTATTTGTTAGATACTGCCACAGGTTGGCTGGCTCTTAGACAGGAGGTGATCAGCTGTCCTTCCAGCTGCTCCTCATTGGCTAAAGATCAAATGGCCCTATTCAATTATTAGGCCCAGCTATGAAGGACTCATGGGATGCCAATAAAGGGCTGAGAGCTGGGGAGGGAAGCTGCAGAAAGGTGGCTGGCTCCTTCTGGTAGGCAGATAGCTGGGAGGAGGAATGATGTGACTTTTCCCCTCCCTCCTGTGACTGTCCCTGGAGGAAGGGAGACTCCTAAGAGAGAGAAATCCCTGCAAATCAACACTCTGTGTGAGAGTGAGAAAGAACTAAGAGCTGAGCTCTGGTGGGGTGGAACACATTTTTGGATTTTGTTGCACTGGGACTATTGTTTACGTTTGCTACCAGTACTTTGTCGGGTGGTGCTGAGAGAGATAGTGACAGTGCCATGGTGGGCCACAAGGGGTGGTGCAGATATCAAACCTGTCATAGATACAAACATCTAGAAATAGCACCATTAGCATATGAATCCAATTTATCAAATCCCTAAGCACTTATGATAAGAAATATTAGGGTTTCAGAACATGAAGGAGCTTTGTATGAATACATCAACTATTTGACAGTGGTAACTATGCAGCAATACTTTAGAATCCTCGTATATCTGAGAATGGCATAACTATCAGATCTATGCAGATAATTTTAATGCAATGTCTCAACCAATGTGTCATATTTGAAGGATTGTGTTGCTATTAATATAAACAAGCTACATCAGTGGCAGCTAAGGTTGCATCAAGATCCACCCCACCTACCTAAATCTTTGAAAGCCTGAACATAGCAAACGAAGGGAAAAGTCTCCAGCATTCTTTGCCACCTGTCAACCAGTTTTCTTAATAACACACTCCATAAGGTATTCATTTTCATCTTCAACACATACTGAAAAGCAATACATACAATAGCTTTGTACAACTCACTCTGTCACACAAAACTTTGATTGTGACCTCATACTTTCTTGTGTCAACAGATCAATGCATCTGAGTGTCACATAGTCCATTCCTTTGGAAAGTTATTCTGCTTTAACACTGTACAAACCAGGTGCGTCAGTTCAAAAAGCAAAAATAGACTCATAAACCACTATCCATATTCTAGTCCCTCCCAGAGGACAAACAGCCCAACTGTGTTAGGGTCAGTTACAACCAGGGCTGGATATAAGGGCAGGCGGGGGTGCTGGGCTTGAGGGGTGCTGGGCTCAAGGTGCTGTTTTTGTTGTTAGCGAAATGTATCATCTTCTATGACATGCATCTAAGTCTTGAAATGGGCTACAAATGCAATAAAAAATAAGGTATTGAGAAGTTTAACAAATGGAGTGGGGGCGCCGAAGACACTCCTCCCCTGGGGCGCCATTTGGTTTAGAGCCGTCCCTGATTACAAATGTATCTTCTGACTATCTCTAGTGTCAGAGCACGAGACCAGTGGATCCTTTCTGTTGTTATGTCTAAATTTTGCCAATTCTTTGTACATAACTTCTGTAAGACAGTGTTTTTGATCCATACATACAGTTAAAATTCTGGTCCAAATTCACATAATCTTGCATCTCTATTACTGCAATATCCTTCTGACTGGCCTTGACAATGCAACCTTGACCCGCTTGTATCTATTCAGAATGCTTCTGCAAAGATGGTTCTCCTAATCAGTTGCTTTGATCATCACCCCTCTCTTTTCATCCCTCTGCTGGCTCCGCCTTCTCCATCACAACAAATATTCATAATCTACTTGTCTTTACTTTCAAGGCCCTTCATAGCCTATCCCCACTCTCTCTCTCTCTCTCTCTCTCTCTCTCTCTCTCTCCTCATTCACTATTAAGATGTCATTTCTTGCCTCCAATTGAACCCTCATGTCAGCCTCCAGAACCCACTTATTCAATTTTCAAATAAGCACCTTCACACTTTCTTCCAGGCTGTCCCTCATGCTTGGGAGATGCCCCCTGTAAAGATCTTCAAAACTAATAAACCAAAATCCCCCTTTAATTCTCCTTTTCTGTGATACCTACAAAACACTTAACAAGGTTAGGCTCCTGATGTGCTGAGACTACTGTCTATCATGCTGATCAGTATTGTCTCATTGTACTCCCCCCATCTGTCTGTCTGTAGCCATCTGTTGTCTCTTGTCTTATACTTAGGGCTTGTCTACACTTACTGAGGGATACATGTGAGGTGATCGATGCATCGGCAGTCGATTTAGTGGGTCTAGTGAAGACACACTAAATCGACAGCAGATCGCTCTCCCTTCGACTCCTGTACTCCACCTGAACGAGAAGCACAAGGGGAGTCGACGGGAGAGTGTCTCCCATCAACATAGCATAGTGTGGACACCGTGGTAAGTAGATCTAAGTATGTCGACTTCGGCTACTTTATTCACTTAGCTGAAGTTGCATAACTTAGATTGATATCCCCCCGTAGTGTAGACAAGGCCTTAGATTTAGGACAGGGACCATTTTTGTTGTGTGCTTATACAGTGACTAGCACAGTGATGGCCTGGTCCATGACTGCATTAATACGTAATAGTTAATAACATTGTGCCACCCTAAATGCTTTGTCATTGTATAGATATATCTCCTATGCTACCACCATAGATTATGCCAACATTGAAAACATTAATTTTTTAAACCATAGTAACTATTAATACAAAATATGTTTCTATTTTGAATATTCATTTCAACTACAGATCACAAAGTTTCTCACATATTAAATTTGAGATCTGAGATTGATCTAGCAAATTTTAAAAGGGATCTGAAGAAAACAGGAAATGGTCTTTTGTTCGCAATGTACTTTTTGAAATTTTAACTAACTTCATATTACGTATTTTTCCTTTCAAAATGCCCTAGAACATTTCAGCAGTTCATTAAAAACAATAACCATTTGAAACTCATCTTCTTATTGAAAACACAGAGATTTCATATAACATTTTCATCCCCGTCAAAATGAAAATCTTGGTGTAATCCTAACTATGGTTGTACAACTGGTTCACCTGAATAAGAAAGGCCAGTGGAAAATCATGAATCCCCTAACATTTTACTTGTTTCTGCAGAATCAAATAATTCTACAAAAATTATATTGCCAACTTGTTCAGCTTCACATATAAATTCATAGTGTAAACCAATGTGCTGCTGCTCCAATGTTCATCTAGTCTTACAGAAAAGGTCTCCTGCCAAACATTAATATCAACAAAAATGTGAACTCACCTCTTTCAGTTTTAAGAAAGATCTTAACTTTAGTGCATAGACAGAGGCATTTAAATGCTAATTTCATTAAGCAAAGTAATCAAAGAAATAAAAAAAACCTCATCTAGAACCAAGAAACTTTGAAAACAACATTGTGTTATATCAGTTCTCAGATTTTTTTACCATCATGACCTACTTTTATCTTAGTACATGAGCTTAGGCCTCACTTTGGTTTGTGCTAGAGAAAATATTCATAAGTAACAAATATTAATAAAATGCTAGAATACTAAATACCAAGTTCTACTCCCTATTCTTTATGAAATAGAAACATTTAGATGAAGTGAATTAGCGTGTTTCTGAATGCAGAGCTTATATGATTGTGGGAAGCTTGACCCAAACTGAATTTGTAGTGTGAACTGTGAGTCCCACAAGAGTAAATAGACTGAGAGTAGAGAATGGGGATATAAGGGCTATGGGTAGTAGGGGAGAGGAATGGCGGGAGGAGGGAAACAGGCTGTTGATGGGGAAAAGAAGTGTGAAGACAGGGTCTTCAAAGGGCAACATGCTGGGATGGAAAGGGGCTCCAATGGAAGCTCCCAGCATGGGGTTAGCTGAGACAGTCTTAGCACCAGTAAATGGAGGACAGAGAGCAAAGTCTCTTCCTGTAGTCAATGCTATCTTCACCCTGTAGCCTCCAGTGGACAGGAGGAGTCAGTGTAGAGAAAAGCTTTCTCACTCCCAGCTGCCCTACTGGCTGGATACATGATAATCCAGAAAGGCTTCAGGGATGCATACAGGAAACTTAAAATTAATAGAAGGAGAGAAACATACTGCATTTTCTTATTTTCTAGATTGTAAATAAAGACATGAATTTCAGGCCCAAAACAATACATTGTTTGTTTGTGTTACATAACCCCTCAAGAAGAAAAAAAATAGGAGGAGAAAGGGTACTTTGGAATCTCCATAAATTGATATACAGAGTTTCTGACATCATCCTTTTGTGAGGGAAGAATGTACAAGTCATACAGGGGCAGAAATATGACTTGGTATCTGTAGGGAAATCTTATGGAGGACTCGAACATCCACATTATTCACCAGAACCCATTACCACTTAGCCATGCAGGTCCCTCAGGTT